ACTGCTACTGCTGCGACTGCTACTACGACGACGGACGACGGACGCAGACGACGACGACGACTAGTGTCAGAAGAAGTAGTGGTAGCAGTAGTCGTCGTGTAGCTACAGCAGCAGTAGCCACATTTGCGACTAACACCCGGACGACCATTTGTAAAAAGACGATCATCATCATCACCATCATCATGATCATCATGACTATTATGATCGACGTTGGTGGCAGTACAATCGTACTTACTACACTAACTCCCGCCGCGGTCGATGCTTGTTGGTGTGTCTGTACAGCCCCAGCCTCCACCCACGACGAACTCTGAAGACCACGGCCCCTCAACATCTGTTTCTGGGGTCCAGTATGACGGCCAGCGCTGGTTGTCCTGCTCTTACTGCCTTGGGAATTCTCATGCCTGAAGCAACAATCCCTCTGCTTGCCCAGTTGCAGCGTGCCGTTCTGCCAAGAGATTCTCTCATCGATGGAGGAGGTCAAGATCGCTGCTAGCACGGTGAGCCTCGGGCGTACGGCTTAGGGTTTAGGTCCAAAAGCTACATCAGCTCTTTAAGGCTGCTGGTGAATAGAGTTTAGGGGCACATACAGTACGATCGTATGACGGGGACCATAATTTGAATATGGGGGGATATGAATACGAATGATTCAGACCCCTATGGTAGGTACAGTAGCACTCGGGCTTCGGGGTCAGCGGAGTGACCTCTCGTTCTCAGTTTTCCATAGACGCACTTCAAGAAGCGGAACACAGCTTGAGGGCTTGGGGTTCATGAAGTTTAAGCTTACGGGCTTCGGGCTTCAAGTTTAGGGTGTGGGGTTACGGTTACGGTTTAGAGTCGACAGTAGCTTGGGCTTTGAAGAACCCTTAAGATGGCCTCTGAATAGCCCTCATACGGCACCCGTGCTGAGCCCTGATCCCGTCAAGGGTGAGGCACCTTGAAGGGACTCCTGATTCTGAAAGCTCCACCCCAAATTCAAAACCCAAAGCTGAAATCTGAGAGAGAAAACCCCAAACACCAAAAAGCAGCGAAGTCTTCAGGGAAGGCCCACACCTTCCATCATCAACAAAGTTCATGAACAACATGCTCGGCTCGAAAGTCTCGCAGCGGCTGGACGATGGGGACTCATGCGATGATGTGAGGATACGAAGGCATTGGTTCAGTGTTAGGATATGAATTTTGCAGCTGGATGCACCTTTTCTGTTTGCGTCACAGGTTTAGGATTGGAGGCTTAAGGGGAAGGTTTACGGAAATCTAGACGCTTAAGGAGGCTTGCCCAGGGCCCTTGCCAAGAGATCTGACACCGCACAGGCCAGCAGCAAAGTACCTGACGACGACAGAATACACTAACTGGATGTCCGCAAAAGCAAGAACTACCCTGAACCCTCCCAAACCCTATAACCTTGACCCAGCAAATTTAACCCCGAAATACCCTGAATCACAATCTACTCTGTAATGTCGAAGAGTTGAGTCAGCAGACCACAAACCAAACACTTAACCCCACCCAAACCGTAAATCTTGCCGGACTGAAAGGGATCTTAGTAGTAAGTAGTACCGTTCAGACCTCTGTATTCATAACGCTCTGAACCCCAGACCTGAAACACGATACAACCCTGGAGCGAATCCCGACTGAACACCTCAAGCTTCTAGACAGCCCAATTGAAGCTATCGGGGGCTGTTGGGTTCAGGGTTTGTTGGTCTAGGGTTCAAAATTATGGGTTAAGGAAATCTTGAACAAATGACAAAGCGTAAAACGTATAGCCACACCGACAATGACAGTTTCAAGGCCTTACTGACGAGAGTGGAAGACATATACAAGACTATGACGGAACATTTTTGGTGATTGAGATCTCAGTGATAGTCAGAAGCATTGCGACCATAGGCATTGGTATCATACTACCTGGAGCCTGGAACCCTAGAGCTATTAGTATGTCCAACGAGCTGAAGGCTCAGGGTCTTGGCGTCGAGTGCATGTAACCGTAACCGCTTAAGCTTAGGGGTTTGGGGTTGAGTGTTTGCATTCCTAAATCCTCAACTCCTAAACCCGGAAAACTTTCGGACATGGATGCTTCTTTCCCTTCAGCGATTCAGGGTCCTAGGCACTAATGAAGGTATGGGGTTGTAGCTCGGCAGTCTCCGGCTTACCGTGTTAGGTCAAGGGCTACAAGCCAAGCAGCAACTACCGCCAGTGCGGCGACCCAAAACTCGTGTTCCGGAGGGGTTCCTACGGCAAGCTCCTCGCATGATAGGCTTTCCGGGGCTGGTAGGAGTCTATACTGGGCGATTCCTGTTCAAACCATCCGGGTCTGCAGGGCTATCTGAAACCAAATCATACGGGTCTGTAAAGTTTGAGATTCCGAACCTGTATCAATAGAAACCGGATTGCTCATCCCTACATAGCTGCAGCGACCGAATAGAGTATTGCAGCACCAGAATGGCAGGAAAGGTAATGCAAACATAGAAGCCGCTACCAGCGCGAAATATTGATAATGCTTCTGTTGCTAGTGATACTACTGGCAATACAGTTGGAGCGTCGGCGCTGGCGGCGGCGGGGGTGCTGGTCGTGGCGACTTTGCCGCAGCGGCGTCAGGGCAGCGGTGGTAGTGGTGGCAATGGTAGAAGTGGTGGCGTCATGAGAACACGCAAGATACTGGTATATCAAACCCAGTACAACAAAGATCACAAAAACGACCACGACACTAAGAGCCATAGTAAAAGCAGCATCAAAAGCTGTAGCAATCGGAGTGGCAACCGTTAACCTTGTGGAAAACCCCGTCGTGAGTGGAGCGCAGCTTTTGTCTTAGGGTGGGCCCGGTTCACTCTTACACTACCGTTTTGTCCAAAATCTACGTGACTGCGAACCTCTGTATATGGCCCTTAATCCATCTACCTCTGCAGCACATGCTTCGACTGCAGAGGCCCTAATACACGGGAACCTGATTAAGGCTAAGAACACATACCAGACAGGTGTATGGACCTTTGGTTGAGGATCTGAGGTGTAGAAACAGGGTCCACAGCCATCTGAAGATTGTCCTGGTGTTGCGTGCTCGCCAACACCGTGAAGCCCCCGGCGCCAAGCAGCACCTGTTAGGGCCGAGGATGAAAGGCTAAGGGTTCAGGTTGCCAGTGAACATGTTTGCGGAATTGGGGATCACGGTGTAGGGACGAGGGCTTCGGGCTAAGGATGTGGGAGCACACCCCCAAAAGCCCTGCTTCGCAACAAAAACCCTCGTCCAGGGCACCCAGAGCAGCTCGAGGTACAGAAACTCGGCGAGCCACCGTGCTCGACCCAGGCAGCTCAGCCACGTAATCTGGGAAATTCGAGCTTCAGCTTGCAGCTTTCAAACGTCGGCGTGGCTCAACACTGGCTTTAGGACGCCAGACACGCCCGGACAAGGATTCTTCAGCCCTAAACTCTAGCTACACAAGTAACCCAAAGTTCCAAGACTCCAATCCTTGAACTTCTTCGCCGAAGCCGCAACAACCCAAAGCCCTTCAAACCTGAACCCCAAACCCTTAAACCCGTAAGACCTTAAGCTCTGAAGCCCTGAGGCCCTAGAGCTCTACAGCCTAAACCCTTCACTTCAAGAGCCGGCAGGTTCTCTCAATGATTATGGTCTCCCTCGGGGGTCGGCTTGCCTCAGGAAAACCTTTCAGCTGTGAGGGTCTAGGCTTTTGGGGGTCCCGGTTTAGGGATTCTAATGTAGTGTAGGGGCCTTGATAAGTTAGAATAGGGTTTTGGGATATATAACGGAATAAATACAATAAGGAACCACCAAAATCGTATTGGTACTTATTTGGGCTAAGTTAGTTAGCTGGAACGGGGGCCCTTATTACCATCCCCACGCCGTGAAGCGCAGCCCTGAAAGCCCCGGCCTGGCCTCCTTCAGAGTATGGGGAGGGAAAGACATCTGAGGCAATCTAGGGGTTTAGGGGCTCTAAACTCCACGATGCACAAAACTTGGCTCAGAAGCCCCTGTACTGTTTGCGCAGTGATGCGAGAAAGGTGTTTGGAATGTTTGCAGCTTTAGAGAATTAGGCGCCTGCAGCAGCTCATTTCGGGCTGGGGTGTAGGATACTTTCGGGCCTGAGGCTGACTGAAAGTACTTTACGAGGTAGGGCTTAGGGTGCTCTGAGGGCTTTGCGGAACGTGACTTTTTGTTTTGAAGGTTTTTTTCAGGATGCTTTAGCCTTTGGTTTCATGTGGTTTCCGGGCCGTTACTCACTGAAACGCAAGGATTCAAGACCGGGTGGCGAAAGTCAGCAAGCTGGCCGCAGCGGTAAGCGAGAAAGCAGCGCTGTAGTGCGCGATTCCTTGGCAGGGCTGTCAGATTTGTGTATTGCTGTTTCACTGGAGGTTTAGCGGTTGGGGTTCAGGGCTTGGGGGCAGGAGGGCGTAATTTTCGTTGGCGACGGGGTTTCGGGTTTTGGGATGTTTTGGGTTCTTTGCAAAGAGCAGGTCTAACCGCCAGAGGAGTTCAAGGCAGGCATGATGCCGTTCCTGAGGAACGGCACACCCTGAACTCTGTTACGTAAAGCCTAAGCCAGAAACCCAGAAGCCTTACTGCGGCCACAGTGTCTCGTCCAGGAGAGATGCTCCCCTGTAGTAGCTGGCAAGATAGAGATCTTCAGATTCAGCTGTCGGGGTTGCTGGTGCTCTAATTAACTAGGGGCGTCACAAACATCAAACTACGGCTCAGTGCGATTGCCGAGTCTAGGTATCATGGAACTACAAGGGATCACGAGTAGCCTCTACATTAGGGCTTAACGGGGTGCCGGTGTTTCCGAAAAAGATCCCAGCAGCACGTGGCTAGGGATTCGGGGAATCCTTGGCCTGTCGCTGGCCTGCAATGAAGAGGTCTGCTTAGAGCAGGTGTAACCATATCGAATCACAGTCCCTTCATAGGCACACTGATGATACATGCTGAGCCTCCGGATGCAGTAGTTGGTGTTTCTGGTTTGAGTTCATCGTGTAAAAATCCACCAGTAGCTCAAAACCCCTTCTTTTTCCAGTGAATAGAGAAGCACATCAGAACCAGGAACCCTAGAAGCAGGCGGCTTGGGCCACAGGTAACAGGTAGGGCTTAGGGTTCCGGGTTTCGGATTTCAGGCTGTCTACGCATGGAAGGGTGAGCGCCTAAACTCCGGGTGTACAAGGGGCAACCTTAACTCCGCAGCCGTGAACTTTAAACCCTGGTCCTCAAGCACAAAACCCTAGAGGCCCTAGGCCGCCCTGAAAGCTCTCAATTGTGGAGTGTCCGGCTTCCGGGTGCCCTAGGCTTCGAAAAATCACTGCGCCTAGGTTTGGTTTAGGGAAGTTTAAGGCTTTGCAGAGTTTAGGCGTTGAGGCAGCACCCTAACACTCGAGCAGCCAAGCCCATCAACACCTTTCTGCAATGGAATTTTCGGCTCTGAGCTTCAAAACCCAAGCCAGGCATACCGTGTCCCCCTGTTTACGGGGTACGGCTTGGGGTTTCGGCCGCAAGACCAAAACCCATAGTCCCTAAACCTAAAACACTCGACCCCAAATCCAAAACCCTAAACCGGCCCCTCAGCGGGTCCTCCACATTCGTGCATCAATGCGCCCAGCTCCCAAGCTGTCCAAGGCCAGAAGAAGACGAAGCATCCCAGGAGGCAGCCCCTCGGAGTGGATGAGTGGTCGAAGAAGGGGCTAGGGTCCTGCTATGTGCGATTTCAAGGTCCGGGGCGTTCTGGCCAAGACGTACAATCATCACTGCTTTTCCCATGTTCCTAAGCTTGCCCTACGGAGCCCCAAACTACACTACGTGCCCTAAACGCAGCGGGGTCAAAACCGAAAAACTCTTCTGGACGCCACTAAACAAACCCCTCAGCCGGCGTAGAATATTTGCAAAACTCGGGAAGCCTTCTAAATTCTAGAGCCGTCCAGGATGCCACGGCCCACGAGTTGAGATGTCCCGCAGATACTGGGACTCGACTTCTTCCCCCTCAAACCTGCGTCCGGCTATGTCAGGCTGAAGTAGCAAACGTCTCCATAATCATGGCGGAATATACCGAGATATACCTTACACTTTGACTTACGGGAATGTCTAGCAGCTTTAAGAATTCGAATTGTTGATGAAAGGGTGTTGGAGTTTCGGGGTCTAGGGTTCACGGGTTGGCGTCAATGTCAAGGGTTTCAAGGTTTAGGGTTCTATAGGGTCCAAACCCTAAACCCCCAAACCCTAAACCCTAGGCATCTTCGGCCTCAAACTGTTAGACTTTAGAGGGCTTCGCTGGGGCATCTGTGGGCGTTTCAGGGACTTGGAGGGAGGGGTTTGCATTGAGGATTTTGAGGTATGAGTTGAGGTTATACCTTCTTGTACTACGTACTATACGAAATTATACTTTTTTGTATCATGCTATTCTTGTGTTCAGGGCTTAGGTTCTGCGTTGAGACCTTGCCTCAAGACGTAGGGTGTGGGGAAGGCCAGGGTTTGGGGCCTTGCTGTGGGAAATCTGCGCAGTCGGAAGTTCGTGCTACTTCGACAAGGAGTCTTTGCTGACAGTCCTGCTCTATTTGTATCCTGGCATCCTTTATCTGCAGGCTTCAGCTGCTTTCAGTGGCCGACTTTTCAGGCAGATTTGGGGACTCCCACAGTCTGGTACCGAAGCCATACAGGATCGCAAGTGAAGTATGCACAGCTCTAGGGCCATTGGGCCATTACCATTCCAGGCCACGGAGGTGATACCTATAGTCTTCATGGCAGTTCCTGTTTGGGTTACCTTATGGGATGCTATAGTTATAAACAGGAACTGCAATGGAGGCTATAGGTAGCGTTTAGGGTGTAAAGTGGAACGGAGGGTTGCATAAGACTCCCAGCTACCGGTGATAGTCCTGAGTGTTGAGCATTAAAACCAGTGCTCTGACCATCGAACTCCAATTCGTAGGGCCGTATTGGAACAGGGTGCGAGGCATAATTATTTGGGGGCTACGAGGGAATACTATTCCTACTGTCCCCTCCCCCTTTCTTTGTCAGACCACCCCCCTGACTTGGATAGAAAGCTGCGCCTCAGAAAGAGGCCCGTCTGTACAAGATGCAAACGATTTGAACATCGGCTCCACATAGCCTCAGATGGAGACCGGGGTCCTATAGGGCTTTTTAGCTTCAGACGTCTATACGACATACCCTTGAACAGCATTGTCTGTTCCCACAACATCGGTTCTAGCAAAGCACGCGCATTTGGAATTGGAGAACTACCACCCTGAACCCCTTACTTACTTGCTCTTTATTGTGTATCGCAATACTGCCGAACAGCGAGACTCCCTTCCTTTGTTCAGTGGGGTGCTTTAGGTCTTCAAGGGCTTCTGATGACATGTCGCGACACGGGGTGCGCATTGAGACATGGTAACGATGTTTGTATTCTGGGCCCTCATTCTCTTAAGCGAAGGCCAGCCCTCCAGACCCTGAAACACCCCCGGCCGACAATCAATCAGCCGATCAGAAGGACATTTCATGGCTGGCGAACTACTTGCATGTAGACATGCAGTACCTTTAGGGTTGAGGTTGAACTCCAAGTTTGGGGTTGCTTACGCCTAAACCTTGAGCTTCTTCACTTCCGTGACGGTCACACTGGTCCTGTGCAAAGAGGCGAAGAGAGAGAGAGAGAGAGATATATATATAGATAGAGACACAGAGAGAGAGAGAGAGATGAGCCTGAATCCTAAACCGAAAACACTTGGGCCCAGCCATTGGATCCTCGGCCCCATGCGAACTGGACCGCCCCCAAGACCCATCAAGCAAAGCAGTTTCGGGTTGAAGGCCTGGGGCTTGCACAGGATGTCTAGGGTTGAGGTTTTAGGGCTTATGGGCTTTAGGGTTTAGGTTTGAGGGGTTTGGGTTTAGGGTCTAGGCCTTCTGGGTCGTTGGGCTGACGCTGCGTGAGGGTTCAGGCTCCTGCTGCCTGAGTTCCGTCAACTCCTGAAGCCCGAAACTCTCTGGAATCCGAGCTCCCTCAACCCTAAACCCCTTAGCCCCTTGGCCCCTCAACCCTAAACCCTGAAATTGATTGGGACTTCGCCTCAGGGTTCTTGGGTGGAAAAGATGGAGGCCTTGCTGCTTCGAAGTTCGAAAGATATCGGGACTGCCAGGGCCTATTGAATTGTCACCAAGCATCTATAACTTGGTGGTGCAAAAATAGCAGCACCAGATGTACCATTTATAGCCTTAGAACAGAATGGAATAGAGGAGACTAGAATATCTATCTATACATATATATCTATCTATCTATTTAACAGAGTAAATATGATGTAAGCGTGCCTCATATACATTTTGCTATACAGAAAGATGTAAACCAACCAAGAGACCCGGCTCGCCGGAGGTTTTCGGCTTTGGGGCCAACGGCCTTGGAAGTTCGATGCTTGCCGATGTCGCGACTGTAGGGCTCAGGATGGTTCGCGGTTTAGGGTTTAGGATGGTTCAGGGTTTAGCCTTAAAGGTTTACGGTTTAGGGTTAAGGCGGTTGGGCTAGGGGTTCCAGGAAGTGTGAACCTGAACTGTTTTCAGGCTTTGTGTCTCTTAGTCGCTGTGGTTCTCAAAGTCGTCACTGTCACGCTCAGACTATGTCGCGATCGTTGTGCTTGTGGTCGCGGTGTCGCTGTTTAGTGGTGGCGACGGTCGTGGCTGTTCTCGGCCTCTTCGTCGTCGTCCTGTGGGCCATCCTCGTGATGGCGGCTTGGTGATAAGCAGCTGCGGCTGCACCATGAGCATATCCTATGTGCATAAAGAACATGGTGCCAGACACGTGCCTGCTACTGACGGACGGAATTCTGCACTACTTGAGCACGCTAGACTTAGCTTGTGTGAGTTCTGCCACACTTATGCCTGGATGGTTATGGACAATACAGGATTTGTCCACCAGTCGTGACATGCTACCCTGTTGCAGGAACATCTCTCGACTGCGACATTCAGATCGACAACTCTGCAAAGTGGCGACCCAAACGACCTTGTTGTGGTTGCATTGACATGTAGGACCTTTGCAAGATAACCCTAACCTTACCGTTACCTCTCAAGGCGGCCCAATTTTGGAAAGACGCGGCATCTTCGGCAAACTATACTCAAAGGACTCAAAGGCCACGCCTCCCAAACTCTGAAAATTCGATGTGTGCCTTCAGTCGAAGCTACAAGTAGTTTCCGAAATTGCATTGCACCAAACAAGGAACAGCCCGATAGAGCAAAACATAGGATCCTTGTGTGTTCGGGGCCTAAACCGCCAGAGTGGCTGTCGGGCAGAATACACAAACTATTTTCAAGCGCGATCAAAGAACAAATCCTTACCACTTGTTGTCCAATAAGAGGGGCCAAAATACTGAGGCTTAGCCGCCAGCTGCAGGCAAAAATGGAAAGGGCCCGGTTCCCGAAGGACCGATACCACCAATCGAAAAACTGCGACTCTAAAACAACAGCCGGATAAGCTTTGTTAGAGCGGGGGTGCGTTGCACAACAAGACCTTATAATATGGGAAACGAGGCTTCCAACTACCAAATCACAGATCTCCATTCGGCTGTGCTATACGTTAAATGGGCGACACAAACCCAAACCCAAAGCCTTGAACCGTGTAGCTTTCAGCTTTATCACTAGCGGTCTAAGACCTAGGGCTTCAGGTTCGGATTCCTAGACCCAGCCAGGCTCCTGAAGAGCTGCAGAAACTTGAACGTCCCTAAAGCTCTACACGATAAACCTTAATCCCGAAGCCCGAAACCCTGAACCTGTGCCTCTGACTGAGTCCCTGGCTTAAGATCAGTCTTTCCGCATACGAGCACCAAGGCTCAAAAAGCGCGTTTTGCACTCCGAGGACTCGCTCCCCTCACACCCCCTTTAGTCTTGAATTGGGGTGTTGGGTTTGGGGCTTAGGGCTCAGGGTTTAGAGTTGTAGGTTTTCTTAGCCTGTGCGCATCTGCTTTGGGGTGTTTGGTGCGCAGGGCTCAGGATTGTAACCCCGAACCTTGCCTGAGTCGGGATCTAGAGCTCCTCTGGGTTTCTTTGGAATGGGTTGCAGAATTTAGGTCATTTTTCTTATGCTCTCTTAAGGATGCGAGTCCAGCCAGGGGCTCAACCCTGACAAACGCCTTTACAGACGACTGAGCAAAGCGGCTGCGGTGGGGCCCCGGGCGATATCATGCAATGAAGACTGAAGCCAAGAATGTCGAGAACAGGTGGGCAGGGCCTGCGTGAGCGAGTGCAACATAGCAGGGGGCTTACTTCATCATACTAGCTATGCAAGCTCAATCTCAAACATCGCTCTGTCGGCAAACCCAAGCAACACTCCCTGGTGAAGACCCCGGATTCATGAAACTTCATTCTTTCAGTGCCATAATAGCTAATGCTGCACATGAGTGAATGCAGAACGAACATTGATTCTGCAAAGGCGCAGCAACAGCACAGGCTGGAATCGCCATCAAAAGCGGATGCAAGCCCTCATCTGCAAGGGTCTGCAGCGTAAAGCAAACCCCAAACCCACTCTTCTTCACTGGGTGGCGAAGGTGGACGTCAGGTTCACCACAGCACCTCAAGGAGGTCGCTAAACCTTTGGTGTGTGTGTGTGTGTGTGTGGATGGTGTGTGTGTGTGTGTGTGTGTGTGTGGTGTGTGTGTGGTGGGTGTGTGTCTGTGTGTGTCTGTGTGTGTCTGTGTGTGTCTGTGTGTGTCTGTCTGTGTCTGTCTGTGTCTGTCTGTGTCTGTGTGTGTCTGTCTGTGTCTGTCTGTGTCTGTCTGTGTCTGTCT